TCATGGTTATTCAGAAATTTACTGTATGTTGTGTATTCGGCAATATGCTTTTCTTTTTCCCTTATCCATCAAAACAGATTGAACCTTTCTCAGACATATGTTTGGGCAAAAAGCCTGAAAGAACGTGCTTGATCATTACTTCCATTGCTAGCAAGCTGGTGAAATGAAGAGATCAAATATTGGATAAGATATCCCATCTTTTAAAATTTGAATTGAAATTTCAAACAAGTTTATTAATTTTCAAAATAAATATTTTAATTTTAAAAAATATTTTTTTCTAGACATATAAATTTAGTTATTAATATTTTTATTTATTTAATAACATGATAATATAAAAATAATATTTTTTTGTTATTTAAAAAAATTATTATCATATAATTTTTATTAATTAAAAAATAAGAGAGCATCTATATGCTTTTTAATTTTTTATTAAAAAAATATAATAATATATTTTTGAATTAATAAAAATGTTTTAATCTTTTCTTATTCTTTATATAAAATGCTTACATTTTTAAAACGAAATATCTATTTCACAAATTAATAAACCTATTTAAAATTTTAATTAAAGCGATTTTGCTTGCCTAGTGCCGGCCAATCACACAAGTAAACTGTTAAAAGTTTTCACAAGACAAGACCAGCTATAAAATCAATTACTATTATTTGTTATATTCTCCATTTGGCCGATGTTTATCTAGTGGCAGATTACACCTAATTTCCTAAGGATATTCAGGCCATTAGCCCATAAGAGTTATCATACCATACAAGTAACAACCAATCTTATGTTGGTTAAATTTCAACCTTTTTTTTTCTCGATGAAGAAAATGACAGCGTAAAAAAGCAACCAGCACATTAAAATTTCACACAGTGAGGAACTCAGGCCTCACCAGAAAAGTGTTATTATGATCCAGGATCCAGTCTCCAGTATACCATTAACTGATTAAATATATCTTAGGATATAACGATCACAAGTCACAACACCAAAATCATGATGAAAGGAAGATATGTAAGTGCATCCAAATAAAATTTTGCGAAAAAGCAGAGAATAGAAAATTAATCAGTACAAACTTCTAAATTGGAAAGCTCTTTCAACTGTCTGATAACAAAGGCAAACAACTATTACCCATGGAAAACCCAACAATTCATAATAATCTCAAACATCATAACCAAAACATAAGTATAGTCCCTAATATACAAAATTAGAATCGCACCAACACCGATAGAGGAAAACTATCAAATTCAACATAAAGCGAAATCAAAAATGAAAATCTCAGAAATTTGTCTCAATAGAAGAATCCAAGTACTTTTCCACCAACATTCTTTCTTCTAGCTTCTTCATGGTCCATGATGCCAGCAGATGTGGTGAGCACAATATATCCAAACTGCAATAAGGAAACAGATGAACATGGCACTCTCATTTCAATCGAATAGACCCTCCATAATCAACACAAGCTTATGTCAACCATAAAATCTAATCTAGTGGACTATGAGAATAAAAACAAGACATACCACTCAGCAGAAAAGCAAGATATGATGCTTAAATCAAAGTCTGTTCCCACCTTTGAAATGTATTTCGTTTCTTTCTTCCGACAAAAAATTTCTTAATCTTGGAAAATAAAGATTCCTATGAAAATACAATATAGAAATTAAACATCAAAAGCCTTCTAAGCTAACCTGTCTTGAAGGAAGTAACCTAGCAGTCCAACCCTCAATCTCCTTGACTCCAACATCAAAACGAGGACTAATCACCCCACACTTGTTCAGCCTCCCGTTCAGTTCAACCACAATTTTGCCAGCTCTGTGATCATCGACATACTCAAACTCTCCGATGTAACCTGCAATGGCAATCAAAAAGTAAGTGTACCAGCATTTTGATATTACAACAGATAAATTTAAGTTTTTAATAAATAAGGGTCGAGAGAATAGTCAACAAACCATGCTTCTGCATGACCAAAAGGAACTTGATGATCACTTTTGAGGAAGGCCTGATCATGACCTGTCGTTTGCCCCTCTTCTCTGCATTGTACATGCTCTTGAGCGCATCATTCAAAACACTAACTCTCACCATCCTTCCAAATGCAAGTTGCTGCTGATTTCACAATGAACAAAAATTAAGCATTTATGGTTTTAAAAAATACTTCAAAATCATATAAAAAGGGTAGATCTTTCTTGAAATTTACTAACATTGTCTTCTACCAAACACTAATTTTACCACAATAATATCCCTCTGTCCCACTCCCCCATTCAAGCAACAATGAAGAATCTCATTCCAGCCAAAACCCAACTTTTTTTTCTGGGTATTAAAATTATTCTAAGCCATTTAATGCTAAAACACAAGAATGCAGAGCAAAAAAAATTAAGGGCACGAAACATTATACCAAGAAACAATTGATTCTTAACTTGCCCAGAAGCCCAAAATCTTCTCAGTTTCTTAAACAATTAATAATACATAAAATACAAAGACAAGTACAGCTAAAACTAACTAATTAGGAGAATCAAATAAAAGTTGCTATCCGATTCCAATGGAAGAACTGAAATATAAAAGGGAGAATTTAAAACAAAGACCTAATTGGATCTAAAATTTTAAGAGGCAAAAGAGTGTTTACCTGAAAGCAAATATGGCGGCCGCGCCCAGGTTGATTGAGGAGAGTGAAGAGAAGTAAATAAAGGCCGAGCTAGGGTTTCGCCGGTTTGCTTTTAAGGGGCGGGGAAGATTGAACACACATTGTTTAGGGCTTTGTGGGGTTTAAGTTCGCAGTCACGAAAATGCCCCTTCGGGCTAATGTGGGCCCTTGGCAAGACAGATGCTGGACTAATGGACCATTCCAGAAAGGCCCAAATAGCCTGATACTTTCCCTTTAAGCTCAATCATGAAATAATATATACAAAAGAACATTGAGCAGAGACCTTAGGGAGAAGGGTACAGCAAATGGGGTTAGTTTGATTTCAGATATTTAATAATGAAATTAATTGAATTTATGTTTAAAAATAATTGAAATTGAACTGAATTTCACAGATAATCAAATAAATCAAAGTCGAATTAATTCGGTTAATTTGGTTTGGTTTTCGAAAATCGAATTTGAGAAATTTATTTTTCTTTTTTTGCATATGTTTATTCATGTTGCATTCTTTTATATATCAATATTACAAAATTATTAAAAATGATGATAAACAATTAGAATAAATAAAATAAATACTCTTATAAATAACAAATAATTAAAAAATATGAATAAAACAATAACAAATAATTTATGATTTATTACCCATGCCAAAATCTCATTATTCCTTTATTCAAGTTTAATTAGTTTGGTTAGAAAAATTTCTAGCCGAAATAATACCGAATTAACTCTAATAATCGAACTATCATAACCAAACTACTTGAACAACTGAACTAACTAAATCAAAAAACCGAACCAAAAAACCGAACTCACTTCGATTCAATTTGATTTGCATTTGCACATCCTTATTAGAGAGAGAGAGAATGACAAGTTAAATTTATTGTGCGATTATTACCTCTTGAAAACTTTAATTTATGAAAATTTAAAATCCAGTACAA